TGTGAGATAGATTTAAAATAATTGCTATTGAGGTTTCTTTGATTGAACATTTCAGTTTTCACAAAAGATTTCTGTATTAGTAACTTAAGAGAATGTTCCTGGCAAGTGTAATTTTTAAATCGCAAGACTGGATATGTTTTGGTGAAGTTCAGCTACTAAATAGTGTGTATATTTCCTGAGGTAAAAGAGGAAATTTATTATTGAGGTTATTTTTCTTAGGTGATTGAACCTTTGATTTCAGAAAATATTTATTCATTGTTGTAATTGATTTAGCACAAAGAAAATTGTAAATCAAAAGGTAATTAATTATTTAGTTTTTGTGTTGCAAAATGAATTCTTAGTTATTTAGGCCTTTTAAAATGGATGCAAATAAATATAACAGCTTGGATTTACTGTTGTTCATTATGCTTGTTAAAAATTAATCAAATAAAAAAATAAGTCTTAAAACAAGTACACTATTCCCAGTTTAATTTGATTGATTTGAATTAATTTTTTAAATTTTATTCATGAAATTTTCTCCAGCTTGGATTATGTACTGTTTCCATTTTTCAAATCATTCTTAGGATAAACACCACAATATGGTTGGGAATGTATAGCCTATATAATATTTTATATCGTAAAATAAATCTGAGTTAGTATATCCTATCAAAGAACTTCTTCATTTAAAATTTTCTAAAAGGGTTTTTCGGATATTAAGTCTTTCAGATTCTACCCTTTGTATAGCCTAACTCAGAACTATAAAAATTAAAGCAGTAGGGTTAGAATTATAGGGTTAAAATATAGAAAAGTATTTTAGTTAAAGCAAGAGGGTAAATTATCAGATGTTTCTAACCTTTCCATAGTTCTGGGCAATTGTCTATTCTAGAAAAGTGTGAAATCAGTACTAGACTATCGGCGTCAGGCGGAAATCTTCTTTACTTTCTGAACAGCCTAGGTATTTTGTGTTAATGATGATACAATAGCTGTTTTTTGAGAACTGAGTATTTTAGTGTCAGCTGTGATTTTGGTAAATCAGAAAAAATACTTCTAGGCACCTATCTATTTGTTCACTCTATAGTTCTAGTTGTCAAAAAGGGGTTTATTAGTTTCGAATTGCACTGAAATCCATGTGCAAATATCACTGTCTGTAGCAACCATTGAAAGTTAATCATTCTTCATGGTTTTGTTTTGTTGGTGTGGGTTTCTTACCATTATTTTGTAAATGTCTAAAAACTGTTACTTAAATACCGATTTAGAATCCAAGCAATTGTAAATAGCTTGTACCGAATTAGGTTAAAGAAACATATAATTTTATTGTATATTTTTGAGCCATGTCAGTAAAGAATCTAAATGTTTTATTATTGTAAATATGTTAAATCAGTAAAAGATTTGTTATTTGTAAGTTTACTGTGTATTTTTCTTTTCATAACTTTTGCTCACAAATTGTATTGATCAGTACTAAATTTTTCTTTGATTTATGACAATAATATCTAAATCCTTGAGAAAAATCGGATTTTGACACTGTCCTAGGCCTATAAGAAATAATAAGCCACCCTTCTTCAGCTCAAGAAAATGCATAAACTATATCTAGGACAAAATCGTCATGACAAAAAAACCACTTGTTGGTATATCAAAAAAAGACCTCAGTATGGAGTAATATCTAACAGTTTTGTTGTTCTGTCCCCCTTTTTGGGGAATTGAATACTTCAAAAATATGATTTTGGTACATTTCAAAATCTTTCAATCATGATAACGAGGAAAATTTTTAAGTAATTAGTTTTCCCAAAATGCAATGTATACATGTTACAGATTTTTAAAACCTATCTAGGCCTAAGTAAAACATATGTTAGTGCCTAGCTGAGTAATTAAATGTTTATTTTCAGTAAGGTGTTCAAAATCAAAACATCTAGTAAATCCATGTGCCACTTAAAATTAAACAATAGTTGCCATAACTTGAAACTAATGATTAGTTGTGAATTGACCATATATTGACTCTTCGTCGTAATAATCAAAGTCCTTCTAAATTGTGTTTTAGCTTAACTGTTCACTTATCTTGTCTTAGGCCTACTGCATCAGTAAAGGCTATACTTTTACGTTGCTTGGGAAATCTGCACATTATGCACATAAGCTGGAAACGTCTTTTACACTCCTCAGTGTATTATTAATTCTATTCTTCAGCTATCGTCAATGCTACACTACTAACTTTGAGCACTACTTTCCTTCTTTTGAAAATGACTTAAGTTAACTGACAATAAATCTCGTTGAACGCTACTTTGAACTACCATTCAGGACGGAACCTGTAAACTAAAGTAAATACAAAGAAGAATAATTAGAAGTACAAAGGATTAACTTAATGGATACATTTCAAAACCGCTAAACCTCACATACAAGATAAGTTAACTACTGCTGTATAAACAAAACATGAATACAATAATATCTATTTCTACAAATCAAAGCTAGAAAACATGTATGTGGTTATTTACGTTGCATAGGGCGAATCACATGCAGTACTTGTGTGAGCGCAAACGTCATTCGTAAGTTTGCCTTCCGAAATTTTCAAAGTTGAATCCAAATAATTGGGACTCTATTAAGTCTTACTGTAAAATCATTTGAAATATTTACTTAAGATATATTGTCTAGGTTTGACCTTTGAAATTCTACCCATCCCTCCCAAAGGTTGTAGAGATAAGAAGAATGTACTAATTTCAATATAGGTACCTTGATAATATTATTTTGTGTATATGTACAATTTATTGTTAGTTGTAGCAACGGTATTTCTCACTTTTGTGTTGATAATGTTGAATATTGTGTATAGAAATGTAGCTATATAATTTTATAGTAAAATTTCATAATTTTCCATTTGTTTATTTTATTCCTGGTTCTTTGAAGGAAAAGTGTAAATATACGAGGGCCATTTTTACGTATAAATCCTTCAGTCATCTAGCGATGAATGTCGTCATCGGATATGTTTCTTGTAGTAAAAAACGTATCACTGACCTTATTCCGCAGGAGATTCGATAATTTAAAAACTTGTAAAATACACAGCGATGCATACACATCTGCTACAGAGCTGCCAATTGTGTCGTTCTGTTCTCAAATGATGTCAGTAAGCTGCAAAGAACCTTGTGGCATACAAGTGAACTATGGATTTATACACAAAAACAGCTCTTACTTAAAACCCCACCTTTTAGTTGGGAAGGAAAAGACTCAACGTTTACATGTTGTGGAATGCATTCCTATAATTATCCACAATTCGGAATTGTGGATAATTATAGGAATGCACTGTGGATGCGATGCTTCCTGGTGTGGATTAACGTCCGCACTAGTGAGTACTACGACTATCCGTAGTACTATCCTAATAATTAAACCAATTTGTTAATTACAAGGAAAAAATGTGGTTCGGATTCCACAATAAACTGTAGGTCCCTTAGTTGCCATTAGCTTTATGGGCTATTAATTAACAGCTGTGTCTAAGGCCCGTATTACACTATCATAGTTCTATGACATATATCTATTATCATATGTCTTTGATGAAAATTATTACAGTGTAATGTACCAACTATTATAATAGTTTTGAACTATGATAATATGTTCTCCTTGAGGGAACATATTATCATATATTTGATAATATAATATGTCATAGAACTATGATAGTGTAATACCGGCCTAAGGAACATGTCTCCGTCTGCCTTAGTCACTAACAAGACTACAAGATCGCGCCACTCATCCTTCACTCATATTTGGGTTAAAATACGCACATAGTGGCGTCCCCATCTTAAATAATTGATAATTGATATAAGGACTAATTATTGAGTTATCCGTGATAGGTTCAAACCATTGCATACCCACAAAAAATTAAGTTTGAACTGCTAGCCATTGAAAATGGTTTGTGTTTCTTTTATTCAAACTGGTATTTTTGTAGACACTAAATAAATATGTAAGCTATACGGCTATACTCAAATTGACAGGAATATATTGTAATAGGGCCTATACACATCTGTTTAGTTTTGTGCTAGGTTTCAAAGTTCATACTGCACTTTGATGCTTAATTTTTTTTATTGTTACCTTTGGAATTAACAGCTAAATAAGTTTCATAAGGCAAAAGAAAAAAGAAAAAACATTTCATGAATTTATCCGTTTTGTGACATTATAGTAAATAAACTGTGTTTAAAATACTTGAATTTTAGTACATGTACATAATGTGTGGTAAATCAGGATCATAAAGATACCTTTTTGCTTTTGAAGCTGCTACAGCTTTCATTTACACTCAGTAACATTTTTGTGTTTTGAGCAAAGAACTTTCCTTTCCCAGTGCTAGCCCGTCGCCCCAAACACCACCAAAACTTATTTTTTAACATTAAAATAGTTTCATTTAGATGTTGGTCATAAATTCAGCAATTGTAGGAGGAATACAATTTATTAAAAGATATGTTCCATTGATTTAAGGTCCAGTTATAAACTCGTGTAAAAAGGAAAAGTTCGAGTAAAAACAAAAAAGAATGTTTTCTAATTAAAATGGAAAGAAAAATCCCAGCCATAGGAAAAAAGAAGGTTCAACAAAGCAATAATATTTTATTTGTTTTCCTAGTGGCAAGAACTAGAAAATTTAATTATTTGATACCTTTAGAAGCCTTTGTTTTTGCGATGTTTTCTCCGTTTAAAATATGTTGGAGAGAACATCTAATCATAAGAACAAAAGCTTCTAAAATTAACAAATAGTAGAAGGAAATCTTGTGAAGGATTGTTGCCAGTTCACACCAATTGCTATTTTGCACATTGCTACAATTAATAAGAAGTTTCAACCATTACAGATCAGATCAGCTGATGAAATTATGATACCTTAACAATGTTTGGACAGGTGGGTTGCCAATGTTTAGCCTAATTGTTGTCAATATAAGCACAGATTGTTGTCAATATTTGCACAGATTGTTGTCAATGCATTCACAGACTGGCTAGGAAGTGTCCAGCAAGGTCATTTTAGCCCTCCTGTCTCTGATCTGGTTTAGATTAGCCACTCAATCATACCAACCTTTACTGCCAGATTAGTTGGTTAGTTGCAGTCATTACAACTGGACCCAAGTTGTATTTTCTTATTTTGTGTTGGCAACAATGTTTCTTATGTATTTGGTAAGTAATTTTTGATTTCATTTCTGAATGACCTATGTTTTGCTATCCCAATATAATGTTATTAACAGGAGCTATTTATAACGAATAACAGTCATATAATTTCATATGAGTTTAAAAGAGTAAGGAGTCAACTCAAAGATTATTCAACTAATGGTAATAAAATTTATTACCATTATTTATTTATATTGTTATTATTTAATAATAACAATGTACATACCAGTTCGATATGATATCAACGTTTCTTGTGAATATTGTATCATTTTTCAAAAGCTGATCTTGTTTTTTTGAGTTTTCTACAAATTAATGTTTCCCACTCATAGCCTCGATATTATAGGTTGTCCATGTGTACCGTTAATGTAGCCTTCATGGTACTACCATAGATAACAAAAACCTTACTTTGATGTATGGTCTATACTATGGTGTATATTATCATTGATTTCTTAAAATTTGTTTCATTAAACTCATTAATAACGTCTGAAAAGTCTAGTGAGTTTCGCCAATTCATTACTGAACCTAAAATCTTAAATTAATATTTTTTATCTTTTATTTTCTTATAAACGTGATATATGTAGGCTATTTGAATTGTTGAAATTAAAAAATGGGGACATGCATCTATCTATGTAGACTACTGCTTGCTTCTACGATATTGTCAGAATATCAAATCGTTGTAAATTAATGTTGTTCCGAAAACTATATTTGATCTTGGTGGTGTTAATGAACAGTTCATTAATTGATATTTTTGTGAGCCCTGTCTGTTCAGTAAATCGAACGTGATTGATTACACATACAGACATGCAATATTATGCATGATGGGTAATAGCAGTAGAGTATGGGTTAAAACCTGTGATCAGTTCATATCGGTGAGTGGGCGGATACTAGTAATGTCTAGTCTAAGTAGTGTCAAATCTATCATAACTTACAAGCCAATCATCGGTCTCAGGTAAGAGACACGACTCTCGGCTTTACAAACAATGTAATGCTATTTGCCTCTATTTTCAACGTTTCAGTGTTGTTAGAAGCTAGTGATGTTCTAGCTACTCAAAACTCCCTGCGAGTGTCAACGGATACAGAGGACTCATAGTAAACTACCACGGCTTTAAATCGTACTATTGTCCTATAGAAATAATTTATGAATGGTGGTTATTCTTTTGACTAAAGGTTAATTTGTTTTTGTTCTTAAATGCTACTAAATTATTAATAAACTTTTGAATACTGGTAAGGATTTTGATTTATCTGCCTCACTGACATCTAGTGGTGACAGGGCGAACTTGGTCACTGGCGCACCTAGCGGTGAATAGGCGAACTTTTGCGCGCCTTGGTATTTATAGCGATTTTTTAAATACATCTCATAGAAATTGGAAAGACATAGAGACCACGATTATTAACATTTTCGTTTTGATGTGTGCAGAGTCTAAAAACACCTCATCTGAATTAAAATTCATATACATTATGAATATTAAGATGTGCCATTAATAATGCTATTTAAGGTCGTAATTCCCTTCTATATGGAACTTCCCATTACCTAATGTAAAAAATACCTCATCTGTACTTATTTGTATGTTATTTTTTTCAATTTTCAGGTGCGATTATTTTTCTGTACTACTTTATTATCTTTTGTTTATTTCAGCTTAACTTGACCAATCAATAGTATTAATACTTATCAAGTCAAATGGGGTGAAGCCCCAGGGTAACAGCTAGTTTATATAAATACATATTATAAAAATATTGTTTTTTCTTTTCCGAGTTATTTGGCTTTTCTGCCCGACTTATTTTTATAATTTTTTATCTTAAGGTACCAACACAGATTTGCCATCAAGCATCTGCATTCTTATCCGTCATACTTCGAGTTACGCTCTAAAGCCTCCTCCGAGTACAATTTCTTATGGGAGTGTAAATTTGGTTTTGAAACTATTAATTTTATCATATTCCTCAAACATTCAGACAGACACGTAACGGATTGAAATTACAATTACGTTGGTCCTATGATGATTTACGTTTCTTATGACCCAAGGACCAAATTCCCAACGGCTTGGTTTGATAAGAGTTTCTGAACATCTATGTAAACTACTGCTCGCTTCTGATAATCTTGACAAAACTTCAAATGTTGTAAACGTTGTCCCAAAAACCATTTGGTCTAAATCAGCGTACAGGAACACCACAAAAACCAAAAGGTTGTTCAACGGACAGTTCGGTAATCGATCATTTTGTGTATATTCAAGCTCTGACTGATTTACTGATTAACACACACCTATACAGACAGACACTATATTATATATTTAAAAAAAATTGGTTTTTATTTTCCGAGTTCTTTTGGCTCTTCTACCCGACCGATTTTCATGATTGAATTCTCAAATAATTGAAGGTATTCACGCACAGATTTGCCATAAAGCGTCGGCATATAATTATCTACGGTATATAATTATCTATAGTATTACTCGGCTTATACATGAACGAAATTTGCTCCCCATGTATTTCTTATGGGAGTTAAATTTGGGTTTTCTTTGCCGATTTCGTTTGGCTCTTCTACCCGACCGATTTTAATGATTGAGATCTCGAATTGAAAGTGTGCACGCACAGATTTGCAATCAAGCATCGGCATATATTTATCAATAATCCCAATCGGCTTCTACGTAAACGAAATTTGCTCTCCATGTATTTCTTATGGGAGTTAAATTTGGTTTTTATTTGCCGATTTCGTTTGGCTCTTCTACCCAACCGATTTTAATGATTGAGATCTGGAATTGAAAGTGTGCACGCACATATTTGCCATAAATCATCTACAAATATTTACCTACAGTATTACACGACCAGAACACATAATTTGATTTATTTTATAATTCTTACTTCAATTTAAGATGTACCTTTACCAGTTATAAATTTATAATCCTATATATTTTAGTCTAAGAACCTTCAGTTAAATACTGGTTTTCATTAAAGCTATTAGTTATTCAAATTGGACGAGTTTCAAGCAAACGCAAGGTAAATAACCAATATAAAAATTAGTTTTAATATGGGTAAAAATCAATTGCTCCAGTATTGTTCATGTATTTCTACAGTATATGTTTTAGACACAAAATAATCAGTAAATTATAGGATTTAATTTGAGATATTGATCGTTTGAATTAGTTAAGCTCAAGATACTGTATTACTCAATCAAAAATTATAAATTTGATTATTTCTCGGATATAATAACTATTTTAACGCTGCGGGGCAGCATGGGTCGTCTAGTTAGATATTAATGTATGATAGGGAACGGTGAGTGGTCTTATATAAGTGATGTCTCGTCGGCTAGTCTAGTCTAAGTAGTGTCAAGGTCAAGTCATCAAATCAATCATAACTCACAAGCCAATCATCGGTCTCAGGTAAGAGACACGACTCTCGGCTTTACAAACAATGTAAACTATTTACTCAATAAATTCGCATTATTACGACAATATACGTTAGTGCAGGTAAGTGGGTGATGTTAGAAGCTAGTCATATTCCAACTACTCAAAACTCCCTGCGAGTGTCAACGGATACTAATGACAAATAGTAAACAACCATATCTTTAAATCACAATATTGTCCTATGGTTTATAATTTATAAATGGTAGTTATTCTTTTAGCTAAAGGTTAATTTGTTTTTGTTCTTAAACGCTATTAAATCATTAATAAGCTTTGAATACTGGTAAGGATTTAGATTTATCTGTTTTGCTGGCATCTAGTGGTGACAGGGCGAACTAGGCCGCTCTCCGACTTTGGGTGGCGCACCTAGCGGTGATTAGGTGAACTGTTGCGCGTTTCAGTTATTTTAGAGAATTACCCATATTTAAATTTATAATATTCAAAGTGTGTGTGCGTCAGCATGATAGATTGAAAAAAATCATACGATTTTGATGAAATTCTGTATTAGATGGTGTAACTGTTACAGTATTTCTATCATTCATACATGTTACAAGAAATAACATTTTGGTTATATTTGGAGTGAAAACTGAAGGTGCAATTACAAAAAACAAATTTCAATAGATAGTTACAGCTTGTGTTACATAGTCTGTTAAAACTAACATAAAAATAAAACACTCAACCCCAAAAATCGTAACAACTTTAAATTGGAAAATTACATTTGGAATTTACCATACTTTCGCAACACACTTTTTTTAAATATATTTTCGCAAATGCAAATAATTTAATCCGACAATTGCGTTAGCAATGGCAGTATTTTAAATATTTCTTGACCCTGTCAATCACTTTTTATAAATGTATACTTTAACACACATGGGGTTAGAAAGCAATATTAAGTTGTCTGGTATGGCTGAAAAATAGTTACATAAATTAGCCCCTAAGAAACGCAATGAATAACATTTCAATAGTTAATGGTAAAATATTAAATTAAACCAACCTCAAGGTCCTTTGTAAGGCGTGGTTGTAATTTTGTTTTGCTTATATCCGTGTTTTTTTACTTTGCCACTTAATAATTTGATCCTATGCAAGAACCTCATACTTTTATTTGTAATTGATTTTTTACTGTTCCAAGATGGTTGGGTACAGTGCGTAGTAATAATTGATTCTAGAGAAAAAACATATGTATGACCGGTTCAAATATTATGTCAGAAACTCGGGTACAGTGTTTGTTTAAATATGGAATTACTTTTAGCCTTTTATCCGAACATAAAATTAGCAAGACACAACAATGAAAAAACAGCTGATTCTATGACACAATACTTTTAGAATTAGAACTAATAAAACCCTAAACCGAAATGCCTAGGCTTCTTTCTTAAACATCAAATTATGAATGTAAAAACACCGAGCTTATATCCACAGTTTATCAAACTTCAATGCAAAATATCCTATTAAATTTTTTTTTTAATTCTGAGAATACATCAATAGCAACTTCTAAAGCACTTTTTAATATCTTATTCTTATCCACAGATATCAATTGTCCTGGCTACAATTCTCATCTCGTCATCTCAAGCAGCGCAGGCTCAGAAGGATATATGTGGATTGAGGACCAAGAAGTTCAATATAAGGATAGACAGAATCAGGATATTGAGGAGATCAACGATGTTTGGGCCCCAGGACCTTCAAGTGAAACATTCAAGCGCTTCTCATTCAAATCGCTCCTTAAAGAGCTCATAAGGTAACGATTAGTCAAAATATTTAATTTCTGCAATTTATTTACTTATCTAGCAAAATGACCTGAAATGCAATGTAGAGTTTTGGGAATAATATTTGTATGTAATTAACAAGTTTTTATGTAGGTTTTATGTGATATATACGTGTTTATATGTAATATCATAGACAAAAAGAATTAAATATAGACTGTAAGGCGTGCTGTGGTTACTATGGTCACCATAGGTTTTGGCGTACACCGCTGGGAGCACCATTTAGTTACCATGACTACATGGCGCTCCCAGCGGTGTGCCCCAGAACCTATGGTAACCTCAGCATGGCTGACAGTCTATATTTAATTCTTTTTGTCTATGGTAATATGCACCTTATTAATACTTAACAATATTGTAACTCCAGGGTACACAGCGACAAGCTAAAAACTACAGTTGCTCCGCAAGTCTTCCCACAGGAACATCCGAATCCTGCGGGATCTCCTGATACAGCAACCTCCCATGAACACCCAATTCCCACCGAAGAACCTCTGGAGACTCTCCTAAACCTTGGACCTGTTGTCAAACCTGATAAGAGCTACAGGTTCACACACAACTTTAGGTTCGGCTACGGAGCGTTGCCCGGCCTACCTTGAAGAGAAAATTGATGCAAACAGAGCTCAAATAATAATTGAAAGCCTTAAAACGTTCTAGAAATTTATAATTGTATTCAAACTCAAAACTTTAGGATGTTAAAAAACGATTACTTGGCTTAAGAAAGATTTTGCTTGAACTTCCTTGACGGCAAAAGTATTTAACATCTAAAATCAAAGGGCCAATAACATATTGGGTTCTAGGGTAATAAACGTTGTACTATGTTTAAAATATAACATAGCCTGAGGAGTTTTCCAGAACTATACATTGATGAAAAAGTTATTTAACTACACACCAAATTATTAGGTGATTAATATGACTTAGTCTGACGTTTCGTTTGAAACCCAATTATACAGTAGAAACCAACTGAATTAATAAAAAAGATTCCTACAGATATTATGTCCTAAAGAAGTTGTTTTAACATTTCGATTTGAAATTGTTTTCTACTGTTATTATTTTTTGGGCTTAAGTTTGAGTACAAGAAACATTCGTAACTAATAAAAGAATCCATAACTAATAAAATTTTAGTTTTTTTACTATTTCGATTTATTTCTTGTTGGTCCATGCTTTATTATGAAAATGTTGATGAAAACTATGTATTCCACTCTTAAAATTATAAGTTTAATTATCTAAAGACATTAAACTGAAATAAATCATAAAACCTAAACAGTGGCTGATTCGTATTTATCTAAATAATTAAATCAATTCTTTGAAATTTTTTTAAGGTAGATTTTTTGTAAAGAATAATAAAAGGATCATGTTACCAACATGTTTTATTATTTACCCTTTATGAAACCTAAATTGAACTGTTGATTAAAGAATACAGGTAGACTTTTATTACGAAATAATCCAAAGCATGTTTTACATTTTTACGTTTGTTCTATTTTAATGATAGTTTTAAGACTAAAATTCCAGAACAAAGGTTGTAATAAACCCCAGTAGTCAAATCTACAATTTAAAATTTTTTCCATACCAGAATTAGCAAGTTTACAAACAATTCCCACGCAATTCAGTGAGTCTGCAGGTGTGCTGCGGCCGGGGTCTGACAGGACAGTACATGTCATGGGGTAGAGAGAAGTAGTTTTACCATATACAGGCTCTGTCAGGAATGTTGTATAGGACATCGACTCTGCCTAGGCCGGCCTTGGAGTCTATAGCAACTATGGTATAGCCCAGTGGGGAGAATTGTATGGTATATGGTACATACAACCAGCCTTTGGTACCATTTAGGCTGGTTTTATGCACCGCGACAGTCGCTACATGTGTTGCGGCTGACCGATCAGTCACGCGACAGCGACACTTTTGTCGCGTAAACTCACTTTTTCACACTACGGTGGTGGTGAAATTAAAGAACTCAGTTCTCTAGGTCAGCGTTGTCTGTTGTGGTTGTGATGTAGGAGTGATTATTAAATAGTTTTAAATATGGACCCTATAGTGTTGTACACGTTGATGAAAACCCCGTTTACGTATTTGAACAGGACAAGATATTTATAAGCCAATTATCGGTCTCAGGTATAGCTTCCAATGGAAAACATAATAGCTCATACTCATATTGGAAGTGTGCTTAAAGTGGACTGAATTAATTTCTTATTATTATGAATATATACTGTGCGGTACAATAGGAAATAAAGACCCATTATTACGCTGGTTTACGAATTCATCCACATAATAATAGGTTACAGGCGAAGTACCCCCTTGAACAGTCTGGGGCCAAGTGTCTTCCTTTCGGTCAACTCCAACCTCAGTCTCTCCAAAGTACAAATGCTAAGTCCACGGTTTTTGTGGGTCGGTCGATTGAGCAAGGTACGTGTCATCAAGAATTCTGTATACTAAATGTCAATGTTCTGACACTGGTATATGCATTGTGAAATCCATTTACCAGGTCTTTTACTTTTGAAATATAATCCCAAGATTTAGAAAATAATTTTTGGTGACTGCCCGTCACAGAACTCATCTAAATAATAATAGGTTTACACGTTTGTAATACATTTTCATATAAAACTGTTGGTTTTTACTCGAGTTCTACTATAATTAACGGAAAGTTCAGTAGCCAATTTTGTTGTGTAATATTTATGTTCGTTGAATTCAGTAAATTTAACGGCAATTATTACTGTAAAATAGTTAACGGTCAGGCACCATTACATATTTCATGTGTAACGTATAGAATCTACGAACAATAGATCCACTCGGTTAATGACAATATACTAACAGAGCTAGATGATTATAAGCCAATCATCGGTCTCGGTCTCAGGTATGAGACACGACTCTCGGCTTTACAAATAAATGTTTTAGTAAATTAATAGGTAATTGTGAAGTAGTGTAACGCAGTGAGGTTAGTAGCAAGTCATGTTCTAGCAACTCAAAACTCCCTGCGAGTGTCAACGGATACAGAGGACTCATAGTAAACTACCACGGCTTTAAATCACAATGTTGTCCTTTAGTTTATAGTTTATAAATAATAGTTTATCTTTTAGCTAAACGTTAATTTGTTTTTGTACCTTAATATTATGAAATAATTAATAAACTTGGACTACTGGAAAGGATTTAGATTTATCTGTTTTGCTGACATCTAGCGGCGACAGGCCGAACTCCTGAACCTGTCGGTGAATATGTGAACTGTTGCGCGCTTGACAACTTAAACGAATCATACTAATGTGAGAGTTTGTGTATTTGTTTGTTTTTTAAAGTTCAATCACGCAATAACTAACGGTCGAATTGCGTTGAAATTTGGCATTATGATAGCTCTGATTCCAAATTAACATATAAGCCTATTATTATATTAAAAGTCCTTTAATGCTACGCCCCAGTGGCTCTGAAATTTCCCATGTTAACCTTAGGAGTATTATCATGATGGTGTTTTTGGTCTCTGGGGACGTCGAAATGAAAAGGTAAATCGGTCCCGGGTCTATGTCTTATCATAATACACACGGTAATGCTTTTATTATTGCTTAGCATAACTGGCAAAAACGATTAATCCCCCAAAGTGATTGTTTACCTGCATTCCTTACTGTGAGACCACGCCTCTCCTCTACTCTTCTCATACGTATAACATTTTTCCTCCTCCTGTTTTCAATATTTCTCCTTTAAACTCAAAACGTTTTCTGTTCTTCTAACAAAACTGTTTGACTGTTTAGATGTGTCTATAACCTTCTAAAGTACAAACATAAATATTTACTCCCAAAAAGCTTATTTACCAAATAGTGAACAAAGCGTGCGTTCACTAATTTATGTACCAGAATTTTTATTATTATCTTTGGGACAGTAAAATTAAACTATTAATGGTTTAACCGTATTTGTTTGTTGTATTATTTGTTTAGGTTTCATGTTAAAATCATGATTTTTTTACATTCGGTGTGCTAGTTTATTAATATGTTCTTGAAGTTAATATTTAAATCTATAATTCTGGCAATAATTTGATTTTACATTGATTTTAACTATTATGAATTAGTTTTGTTTAACTGTCGAACAAGACCTACAAATTTTAAATAACGGTATCATTTACAAATAATTTAGTTTTCGACAGAAAACATAATAGCTTAAACCCAAAACGGGAAATGTGCTTAAAGAAGCCTGAATTAATTTCATATTGATTATTATGAATATATAATGTATGGTACAAAAGGAAATAAAGATCCATTAATATATTACGCTGGTTTACGAACTCATCCCCCTAATAAAAGGTTTACACTTGTAATACATTTTCATAAAAAAAATTGTTAGTTTTTACTCGAGTTACCGTAACGGAAAGTTCAGAAGCCGATTTTGTCATGTAAAATTTTTGCCCAGTGAATTCAGTAAATTTAACGGCATTTATTACTGGTTATAAAATAGTTAACGGTCAGGCACCATTAGGTGTAACGTATATAACCTACGAACGAACAATCAGTTCTCTCGGTGAATGACAATAAACAGAGCTAGTTGATTATAAGCCAATCATCGGTCTCAGGTAAGAGACACGACTCTCGGCTTTACAAACAAAGTGTTAAAAATAACTCAACAAAACGTGTCGTATAATTAACTCATTTTGTTTACGGAGTAAGCTGTAATGCTTTGATGTAAGTAGCTAGTCATGTTACAGCTACTTATAACTCCCTGCGAGTGTCAACTGATACAGAGGACTCATAGTAAACTACCACGTCTATAAGTCACAATATTGTCCTATAGTTTATAATTTATAAATGTAAGTTATTCTTTTAGCTAAAGGTTAGTTGGTTTGCGTACCTTAATATCATTAAATAATTAATAAACGTGGAATACTGTGAAGGATTTAGATTTATCTGCTTTGCTGACATCTAGTGGTGACAGGGCGAACTCATGAACCTGGCGGTGAATATGTGAACTGTTGCGCGCCTGACAACACGAATTTCCCGTACAGGGAACAAGCTCTTACGGTTTTATGAAAATACCAATGAAGAAATATAAAGGGGAAAGCCTAATAAGAAGTTATCCTTTCTATTCAATTTCATTTCTTGCTAATCTTTTATCCTATTTTAATTTATTAAGGGATTCCACGGATTAAATTTGACCACTGCGCGGAGTTGGGCAATCCCTTTCTGAACATCTACAGGTAAATATATTTCTAACAGTATGCGTAGATTTACCCTGCGATACACACGAGCTGAGAATAAAAATCTTAAAGAAACATACTTGCCTATTAATATGTAGATGATAATGATGATGACGAATTCAGTCGGATGGTTTTTACTCGAGTTTTCCGTTATAAGCAGTCGACATTATTCTGTAACATTTTAATCCTGGCCAGTTCAGTAAATTTCACGTAATTGATAAACACACAGACACCGATAGATTTAAATTCATGGCGACTCCCATGTGTGGGGGGGGGGTTTAATCAACACACGATCAGTACAAATCTATGTGTTGACAGAACGAGATATAATAAGCCAATCATCGGTCTCAGGTAAGAGACACGACTATCGGATCGGCTTATTTAATAATATTAATTTGTCACAGGTTATAGGACCAGGTAAGCGTCTATGCTTCTAATGATATTAGAAACTACTCATGCACTAACTACTTAAAACTCTCTACGAGTGTCTATGGATATGTATTAAGTAGATATTGACCACGGTCATCTTAATTTAACTCAACTACAATCCATTTGGGGTTCACGTAAACATCGACAACGTACTGTGTTTGACGACTACGCTAGCGCTACTAGCATGTATCACACTAACTAAAGCGCCAAACAGTTCTTCTAGTCACCACTAGGTGTTTCTGCTCCTAAATCTATAGAAGTGTATTTATTTATCAATAATTTAAAATGATCAAAGTACAAAAAACAAAATTTAGCTTTAGTTGAATTAAAGTACCATTTATAAATGATAAACTTATGGAAAGGTTTGCTCTTCAAAGCCGGATGTTTACTTTTAATACTCTGTATCCGTTGATACTCGCAGTGATTTTTGAGTGGCTACATGACTACACCTCTTTTAGACAACCCACTTTCTAATTTACTTCTGACGCCATGTTTTAGCGCTAATTATAAATTGTTTTAAAAGCCGAGAGTTGTGTCTCTTACCTAAGACCGAAGATTGGCTTATATTAAATCAACCAACATCGAATCACTACACTATTTAAGTACTCTCCTTTCTTCGGCACTGATTGGACCAACCGTTTACCCCAAATATAATTTAATATGGTCTGCCTCGTCAAGTTTGTGTTTGTGATAATCTATCACGTACACATTACCATT